TGTACTGAAACAAATACCAATAACTGTATTGCATTGTTTTCTTATGCGCAATTACTTCATACTGTCTTTGTCTTTTTCGTCCTGCATTTATTGGGCCCCCCTCAGAAAATAACTGGCCCCCCCAGTCAAATTGGTCTAGAACCGCCACTGCTTGAATGTGCTTTTCATAATAGGAACGTAATGGAATATTTGTGAATTCTGAATGTGGAAAATTAGATATTAATGAAGAAGTAATGTAACTTTTTCTGGAAACATCATATAGGAAACACATTGTAATGCCAGGAACAGTATTATTAAATCTATTCAAACATGCCTGGATGCTTAAACTGACATGATAATATAATGTAATGAATGTATTAAGCTTTAGCTGCTGACCCAGCTGTGTGTTGTCTCGTCTGGGCAGCTCTTTGACCAGCGTCACAGCGTGTTCAGAAACCTCCAGCGCCTCCCGCTGAACCAGCTGCCGCAGACACGCCACCACGGCCCGGCGCAGACACAGGTAAGAGCTGCACAGGTGGGCCTGACACACACACACAATTTAGTTAACACTGTTTCCCTGTTATCACAGCAGGTGTAAGGTGTATAAGGCATGCAGCTACACACAATGTTTCCTCCAGTTTCCGAAATTAAACTTTGCAAACATTTTCATAAAAGAATATCTGTTAAAATAGTGATAATTATTAGCTACGAGTTCCCTAATCTAGAAAAACACAGATTTATTACAATAGATTTAAGATTAGATATACTTTTTGGATATCAAACCAAGAAGATGTTGGATATTTTTTTCCTTGACGAAACAATTAATGTTTTATCCAAATAGTATTTTTATTATAATAATAATTATTATCTAAAAGAACAATGATGAAGTAATAATGCTTCAGACTGAAAAGAGGTTACTCTCTGCTGGTTACTGTCAGGATCCTTTATCATTGAATAAATTCACAGGATGACTCTTAGTAATAATATTTAGATGAGTTCTTTCTGGAGGAAACACTGAGTATTTTCACTGTAGGAGAAACAAACAGCCAGCAGGCAGGGGGTTAGTGCAGTGCTGTGGGTAAAGTTATTGAGTTATGCGTTAGTCTGCAAAGCAAACAGTGTTAAAATAAACTGAAAAACACGTGCGGGTTATTAGGGTACCAACAGAAAAGATGATGTTAAAAGCTCACAATAAGCCTGTGTGACGTGTTTCATGTTATTACAATAACATGTTATTAGAATAACATGAAAGTGTTGATGGAGAAACAAGCTGAAAAGTAAAGTGAGACAAACAGCTTCAGGCCTTTCGAGAGAGAACCTACCAACAAAGAATAATCCAACAAGATCTCCTGCAAGACACAACACAGGGTCAAAGTACTCAACATAAGCCCTTGATATTTGTTTGGTTACAGTGTTGCTAACAGATAATTGAATTGATGTTAATTGCATTGTTTTTGGGTATTCTTTGGTTGATTCTGTGTCTAAAATCTTATAAATAAATGTTTTTTCTTGTCTTGTTTTTCACCAGAACTAAGACTAAAGAGGTGTGAACAATTGGCTTAGTCAAAGCTCTTCCCCTTCCCCTTCAGACATTTGCAAAAAACAATATAATTCTATGCTGTAGGTGTATATCAGGTGTGTATCAGGTGTGTATCAGGTGTGTATATCACCCTTACATTCACTGCATATGTTCAAAACTATATTATTTGACACATAAATCTTTAAATCTGTCCATAGATAAAAGCCAGGTGGTATAGTGTATATCATGAGTAGTTCAAGTGTAGTTCAGGTGTATATCAGGTGTAGTTAAGGTGTACTCAGGTGTATATCAGGTGTACTCAGGTGTATATCAGGTGTAGTCAGGAGTATATCAGGGGTGTTCAGGTGTATATCAGGTGTACTCAGGTGTGTATCTGGTGTAGTCAGGTGTACTCAGGTGTATATCAGGTGTAGTCAGGAGTATATCAGGGGTACTCAGTTGTAGTTCAGGGGTACTCAGTTGTAGTTCAGGTGTACTCAGGTGTATATCAGGTGTACTCAGGTGTATATCAGGTGTAGTCAGGAGTATATCAGGTGTACTCAGGTGTATATCAGGTGTAGTCAGGAGTATATCAGGTGTACTCAGGTGTAGTCAGGAGTATATCAGGTGTAGTCAGGAGTATGTCAGGTGTATATCAGGTGTACTCAGGTGTATATCAGGTGTATATCAGGTGTATATCAGGTGTACTCAGATGTGTATCAGGTGTATATCAGGTGTACTCAGGTGTATATCAGGTGTATATCAGGTGTAGTCAGGAGTATATTAGGTGTACTCAGGTGTACTCAGGTGTATATCAGGTGTATTCAGGAGTATATCAGGTGTATATCAGGTGTACTCAGGTCTGTATCAGGTGTAGTTCAGGTGTACTCACGCAGAGTGCAGGTACGAGGCTGGCCAGGTTGACGTGTGGAGGTGAGAACATGTGCAGCTGCTGCATACAGG